TTTTTTTTTTTTTTTTTACAATTATTTTTACGGGTGCTGCATACATCGTGATATACGTGATATATATGTATGTATGTGTGTTTTGTTTTTAACCAGATGTGGAACCGAGCAACCACACTAGTGTATTAAATTCCCACTTATCTCTTTTGTTCTTAGGCATGATGCGCTACATGGAAGGAACGAACAAGAACAGAATCATGAGGGCGGTTTCGGTTTGGCAGGGTGTAATCCTAATTTTTCTGATTTCGCCAGTCCTCGTGGTCACTCGCAAAGGAGGTAAGTATTAATATCACTTTTAGTCGATATTAATATGATCAGAAAATTATTGTACCGTGAGAGTTGGGATTAGTTATTCGGTCAATCCGCAATGCAGTAGGTTTTCTTGCGGGTGGAAAGTAGTCTTTGGAACTTTTTTTAAGCGCGGAATGTTTTATACCTAAAATTAGACAAATAACAACTTGTTTTCTTTATGTAGTCAGCGTTTAATAACAAAGCATTGTAGCACTTATTGTGTGAAAGGTATATTAATTAATATTCATACGTAGCAGTTATAAGGGCTAAAGTTCCATTAATTAACGATAACACCTTGTAATAATTTACTACAGCTAAAGTTGTATTAATTAATAATAAAACATTGTTGTAATTTGGTATAGCATAGGTTCCAGTAATTAATAATAAAACATTGTAGTAATTTGGTATAGCATAGGTTCCATTAATTAATAATAAAACATTTTAGTAATTATTACACATGAAGTTCCATTAATTAATAACAAAAATTTGCATTAACTGATGGCTACTAAATATATATACTTATCTGCTAATTAATATAAACGTATACATACTTATATGTAAATACATGTAAATACTACATAACAGTTATTATGATTTTAATATCTAAACAAAATAATCTAAAGACAGTACTTTTTTTTTACATATGATTAAAATCCAAAACGAATTTTCGGACAATAAAGTCAAAAAATGAAAAGCAAATAACAGTTGCGTTGTAACAGTATCTATAGTTGAGCAGGTTCTTCGAATTATTTGGTAAAAAGAGGAATGCAAAGTTCAGCCCACTTAATTCTAGAGAAAGCGATTTATTTCTACAAGTTCTACTTCCACAAATTCCATAGTTTTACATAACCAACGATAGGTCTGACTTCACGAGTAAACACAACATTTAAACAAATTTCCGCTAATTTTTTTTATCTTTTGTAGATCGTCACAAATACAAACTGAAACTTTAAAGCGCTGATTTAAAATTGGCTGAGAGCAACAGGTAAACTGACTAAATCATGGATTGATTATCCGCAGACTTATTCAGCTAATTATTCATTATTTCAAACTTAATGTAATTTACTAACAAAATGAATAGATATTAAGTCTAGCCTTACTCGCGTTTTATACTGCCCAAACTATTCCAAATGTTTAATGAAAATTCTGTATATGGACGTGAAGCCATACGCTTATAGCACAAGACACAAAGCGTCCCTTTGACCAAACAACAGTACAAACTCCTAAGTGAAAAACATAGCCTATAACATATAGAGTACAAACTACAAAGCGGAAGCATGCTATAGTAAGAGAGGTATTTATGGAATTATGACTGACACAGCACTATCATATTTAACCTTTATGAGCAAGTGTCATTTGTAAAATAAAAAAAATACAATGAAGAGCAGATGGCATTGAAGGCCACAACTTATTACTCTTTAATTAGGAAAAAAAAATGCAATTTTGATTGGATTTTCTCGTTATAATGTTTAATTTGATATCTTAGATTTTATTATACTGTTCAGTTCTAAGAATGTGCTGTTTGGGAGCTGAAATGGCAGTTTCGGTTGGCTTGATTTTAATTTGGAGGGCTACTCAGGGGGCTATCTTCGGTAGTCGTCCCTAATTTAGCAATAATAGACTAGAGGGAATGCAGTTAGTCAATACCACTCGCCGCCAACTCTTGGGCTACTCTTTTATCAACGAATAAAGGGATTGACTGTCACATTTATAACGCCTCCACGGCTGAAAGAGCGAGCATGTTCGGTGACGGAGGTTCGAACCCGCGACCCGCAGATTGCAGTGAGACATAATCCAGTACAATGGGTAATGCGTTATCATTTGGTGTTTACCTTTTGTCTAACTCTGTAGTCGAAACTCACTTTGTTAGCAAAGTTGGAACTTGCGCAGTCAATTACGATGTTAAAACATGTGTTAATTTCTAGGACTTTATTTTATACTGCTGGTTTACTCTTCAAGTCGACAATATCGCAATTTTTTTTTTTTTGCTAACACATACAAGTGAAATAGTACATACCAGGTATTATTTTATATGTTGGCCCGGCATGGCCAAGTGGTTAGGGCGCTCAACTCGCAATCTGCGGGTCGCGAGTTCGAATCCCCGTCCCACCAAACATGCTCGCCCTTTCAGCCGTGGGGGTGTTATAATGCGACGGTCAATCCCACTATTCGTTGGTAAAAGAGTAGCCCAAGAGTTGGCGGTGGGTGGTGATGACTAGCTGCCTTCCCTCTAGTTTTACACTGCTAAATTAGGGACGGCTAGCGCATATAGCCCTCGTGTAGCTTTGCGCGAAATTAAAAAAACAAACAAAAACAATTTTATATGTTATAAATCCAAAACATACAGAGAATGAAGCAGTGACATAATGACACAGGAATAAGGCTTAGCCAGAGGCAGGTATGGTATCATAGAGTGTTTGTTTGCTTTAGAGCAAAGTCACATTGGGTTATCTGCTGTGTAAAATGCGGGGAATCAAACTCCGGATTATAGTGTTGTAATTCCGTAAACTTACCGTTGTCCAACTAGAGGATATCCTAGAGGGAGGAGGGGTTGTAGAGGAGGTTGTTTTTTTGTTTTTTTAGCGTCCATTGTAATCTAATTCCACTTCATAATAATTATATCTCTAATTGGTTTGTGTATAAAAGTTTCAAACTCAGTTACATTGAAGTCCAAAGAAGATATGTTTACGAGGTCTTATTAATGCCGTTATTTCACTGAAGGTGGCGACAACGTAGAGGATCGTCCTTCTATTTTCTATGGAATATATCGTTGCTTCTCTAGTCGTTTCCGTTTGAGCAACCGAAAGATTCGTGACCATAAATATGTCGGAAACTGCTAAACCTCACACTCAATTTAAGTTGAATCAATAAGTATGTACTGTTCCACCATAGTTCTTCCTGACAAGTAAAGCGGGTTCGAAAGGCTTTAGAAGTAGGCTTAACAGCATAGATCAGACGACATGAAATCAAAGGAAGAAGATGGACAGCGAAATTAACATACGAATATACAGTCCAACCTCTGTTAAGTTTCCATTTATAAGCTCTGCAGGATGCTAAAGGACAACGGCGAAGGATTTTCAACCGCTGTGCCTACATGCATATGCAATGAATGGGATTTCATATAAAACTATTTTATAGCCACTCAGACTGGAGCAGACAGTTGGTGAGCATGAGAGATTATATATATAGATCTGTGGAGACGCTGGGTATTAGTTTAATTTATTATTATGCGCCTTATTTGGTGGCGAGGCTGTACAACCTCTATAGTTACTACGATGGGTCCTCCACAACTTAGTATTAAACGCCATACATATTGTAATTTGTATGGAAACCTTGAGCCTTGCCTTGACACTAGCCCTGCTCGTACTTTCCTAATCCTCTCCAGACACCGTGCCCTCGTGGACTTTATCGTAACCGTAAGCGGAATGCACTGCCTTATTGCACTTAGTTGGTCAATAGCCTAGTATTAAACAGAGTTCGTGCTGTGAGGGTTTAATATGCTTGGTACTTCAACAATGAAGTTTAAAAAACAAATTGAAGCGTTTTAGCCCAGCTGGCCTTTTTTTTT